GCAATTTATATTGTATTATTTTTAACATTATTGATACTTTATTATTATTGTTATTATTTTGTATTATTACTATAACTATTACATAAATTAATATTATTTGTTTAACAATCATCTTTTTTTCTTTTTTATTTATATACATTTTTTTTATCTATTTTTTTTTTCTTTCTTTTTATCATGAATTTTATGTTTTTTAGATGTCACTTGATTGACTAGTTTGCCAACGGAGTGACATCTAAAAAACATCTATTGACTAGTTTGTAACTATATGAGTGACATCTAGTTAGATGCCATTCAAGTTACAAACTAGTCAATGGAGTGACATCTAAAAAACATAAAATTTTCAACAAAAAAAAAATAGATAAAAAAAAAGTAACTATTATTTTCAAGTATTAAAAGATTAAAAGTAAGTATATGCTAGTTTAAGTTCAAAAAGCCTATTGATGGATGCTTAGAAAAAGGTAATAAGATCTGACCCATGTGTGAGAGCTAACTTTTCTTTTTTAGGATTATATTAAAGATTTTTTTAAAGTTTTTAGAATAAAATTTGTTTTTTGTTATTTTTAATAATTTGATAACAATGAACCTCAGCACAGGCTATTTCAAAGTGAGCTTTATGGCTTTTTTTTTTTCCCTAAATAATCACTTAGTAGGTGTTACTAAAACTTTTTAAACTTTTAAAATATTAAAGATAATTATGTTCTGTAAAAAGAATATAAACACCAATAAAACGTTTTACCATATGATATTAAATGATCGATTAAATTTTTTTTTTCATTTTTAGATAAAACGCCAAATGATAAGCTTGACTAAATTTTAATAACTTGTTGTCACTTTTTATCAAAAAAAAATTGAAAAAGTATATTTTAGATATTTAATATTAAATATACACATTGTAAGACCATTTTAACTTAAAAAGAAATTTATTTGAACCTAATTTTTAAACTTGTAAAATATATAAGGTCACATGATTGTTTTAAAATGTAAACAAAAATTTACGCATAAAAATAGAAAAAATGTTATAAACCAGCCAAGTTTGAAGACCTAGACATGGACATGAGACATGGTCTGACATAACTAGAGATACAGAAAATAATTTTTTGATTATCAAATGTATAAAGGATTTCAATTTCGATAATTTGGTGCCCTATGCAAAAATTTTACGATTTTGAATTAATTAAAAATTGAAATGCGTTAAAAACAAAAAAATAAGCAAAAGGCACCAAAAATCAGATAGAACAGACATTGGTTGATAAGTTTTCCAAATTTCAACGTAGCTGTCAGACCATTTAGTTGTCCCAAGCCAGATTTTTTGTAAATATCGTAAAAAACAGAAAAGTGATCACCAAATTATTGGCAATATTTTAACATTATTTATTTTTATTCCGTTTAATGTAACTATTTATTTAACAAGAAAAGATAGATCTTTTATATTTTTGTTATTTAAAAATGAAATCGTTTATAGAAAGAAGTATTTTTATTTATTTTCAAGTTAGCAAATTTTTATACTTTTTATGCGGAAATGCTTGTTTTTTTGATAAACTTGTAACGTCAGGCTCATTTTTATATTGAGTAAAACATTTTGTGAAAAAAAAAAATAAGCATTTCGTCTTTAATGTAAATTGTAACTAACTTATAAACTAATGTGATTTTTAAAATAATACTGAGTGAAACAGCCATGAGCAACAGACAACATCAATTTCTTGCAATTATACTTTAAATCAAGAGTAGAGAAAAAAGTTGATGAGTAAGAAATGAGAAAAAAACTTGAAATTTGTAAATCATATCAATCAGGAAGATGAAAAAAATTTTAAAGTTGTTCAAAAATAATTTAAATATTTTTTTCAAACATGAAGGTTACAGTAACAGTTTTAGGAAAAAAATGTAATTTTTTATTCATTATTTATAATATTTTTTAATAAAGTAAAGTTTTAATAAATTTAAATGTATTACTGTAATTAAATAATTTAAATAATAAATATAATAAAAAATAATAAAAAAACAATTTTGAAAATTGTCACACAAGATTAATTGCTGGACAATTTGTAAAAAGGATACAACAGCAATGAGGCTTGACTGCTAGAACAAATTTATTTTACAACAAACTTTTGTTTAAATAAAAAAAATGTTTTTATCTAATTGAGAAAGAACATCAGTAGAAGACATCAATTCATAGACTACTGCACAATGTCAAAATTTTGCTTTGCTCTGGAGAGATTTTAACTGTTTAACAGTATGGGATGAAATGAGATAACCAAACATTATTGAGGTAACTGAACTTTTTGGAATGAAACTGTTCAATTGTTGAACATGAAAGGTTTTTACAATTAAAAGAAATGTTATAAAAAAAAAATTAACTTCTTCATGAAAAAATTAACTACCTGCTGCTTTGTTTCATTATACCTTTATCATATTTCTCTCTATATATTTATACTTATATATACATATACTTGGGCTGTACCGGATTTAACTTTTCCAAACCTGGCCGGAGCTGTATTTGCCAAATTTCAACTAACAAATCTGGAGCCGGATTTCGAAAAATTACAGGAGCCGAAATCCTGTATATTCCTACTTGATATTGATAGTGGTCAACAATATTGACCATTCTCAATACCAAGTGATGATATAGAAGAATCACCCAGCTGGACTTGTTTTGCTAGAATTTATTCAATTTTGTCAATCTGCTGCTCAGCAGGCTCAGATGGACTTCTATCTTGCATCAAAACCCTCTGCACTGTAACTTTATTAAATGTATATTTAAACACATTTGTGTCTTCACTTCAGACTCTTTTGCATATCTTTACTTCAGAATATTGTGTCTTCTCTTTAGAATTTTTTGTTGAGTTGTTGTTTGAAATTAGGCTTAGTTAAATAAACTGTAAAGAAATGTAAATACATTACAACAACAACATCAACAAGATATTTATTTTCCTTTTCAAAATTTACATATAATCATATAATATCAATAATAATAATATTATTTATAATAATACAAACAATATAACTATAATAAAATATAACTAATAAGAATAAATATAAATAACTATTTGAAAAGGAAGGTGTCACTCAAACAGAAGCCTGATCAAAGGAGTGACACCAAATAATTATAACAATAATAGTTAAAAATAATAATATTATCCATAATACAAATAATATGATGACATGAGTGTCATTCATGATCAAAATGAGTGACACCAATTAATTATACCAATTAGTATAATAATAAAATAATAATAAAAATAATAAATATGAACCGAAAATTGCTAAAAAAATAAATAAAATAATAATAACAACGATAAAGCGATATGATAAACAACGATAATGATAAACAACGATAAGTTAAACAATGAGACAAAAAATATGAAAATACTTAATAACAACAGCAAATAAAAATAAAAATAATAAGCAAAACAGAACAAATAAAAAACAAATCTTACACAAACGAAAAGGCAAAACACAAAAACAACAAGATGAAACACAAAAACAACAAAACGAAAAGGCAAACACAAACACTTCTACAAAAAAAAAAAAAAAAATTAAAAAATAAGGACAAACTTTAGTTATTTTTGCGAAATAATTGAAAAAAAAAAAGGTGTCGAAAATTTTCTGAAATAGAAAAACAGGAAACAGCAATAAAAAAACTACAAAACGAAATGCATACACAAAATGATAATATTTAACAAATATAATATTTAATAAAAATAAGTAATGGTAACATTATAATAATAATTAATAATTAATATAATAATAAAAAATAATAATAATAATAAACAAATATCATGTTAAAGAATGATATAAGTATATATTATGAAACAGTAAAATGAATAAATAATAATCTAATATAAAATAAGTATGTAATACAAATAATAATTAAAATAAGTGATAAAGACTAGCTAAAAAATATCTTCTAAAACTTGATCTTTTTTTTCTTCTCTTCCGTTTTTTTTTTTGGTTTCTACTGTTTTTCTTTTTCTTATCTCTTTCTTTTCTTTTTTCTTTTTTATCTTTTCTTTTAGTTAAATTTAGGTGGTTAAAAATTCATTCAAAATTCGACTTTATTTACTGATTAGATTTGTTGTTTAGTTATTAAAAATTTTGTTTCAATTTCTTTTTTCTTTTTTTCTTTGTCTTTCCGTTATAAAAACATGATCGTCATTATTGAAGACTCTCCACGGATCCAAACATGGATACTATTACAAACATGGAGTTCATAGAATATAGAATTACATTGATTTGTATAAATGAAGTGATGAGTATTTATGTAAGCACGAGCAAAAAAAGATGTAATAAATACCTGACCAGAAGTTAGTAATCCGACTCAAACATTGCTGGATTTCCTTATTTTTTGCTGGAGCCGGATTTTCTAAAATTGGCTGGAGTTGGAGATAAAATCCCATGCAGCCCTAATATATGTTTATTGTTATGATCTATTTTAATTTAAATTGCAAACAACTTTAATGGTATTAAATTTTAAAAAATTTAATTAACATGAATAAAACAAATAAATGTTGTGATTTGGTCAAAACATAAAATGTGTTTCATATTTTGCTTTAATAATAAAAAAAAAACTCATTTGCATTTCTACTCCATTTTGATAAATAAATAATGAATTAAATACTTCTTTATTGTTTTGTAAGTGCACCCAAAGTATTATAGTGAATATTTGAGTATCCCCTCAAAAACTATTATCTGACATTTCTAATATTTAGGTGTAGTGTATTTTACAGAAGAAGCAGAACGATTACGAAAAAAAAAAAAGCCAAAAAACAACAAAAAATTATACATAATGACTTAGCTGTGCTTGCTATAAATGAAATAATGACTTTGCTATACAATTATTCTATGTTTTATTATATTTTTTAAAACTAATAAAAAATTTTTCATTTGTGTCTTAGGTGTAAATTGTAACTAACTTACAAGTTAATGTGATTTTTTTAAATAACAAGAAATAATAAATAATACAAAAAACATTAAAGAATGTAAATAATATTAAATTTTTATACCTGATTATGGAGTGTCATTAAACACTACTTCATTTAAAGAACATTTTGCACCTTCACTTGAGTAAAACATTGCAAATGAGTACTTGCAAAATATCCATTCACAATAACACTTGAGCCATGCAACTTGAAGATTTCAACACCATCGAATATTTTATAAAATAAAAATATTATAAAGTTATAAAACATGCTTTTACTTTTATGTTTCTACCACACAAAAAAAAAAACACTGAACAAATGTGACCGAAGCAAAATGGGTCAGGGTTTGATAGGCCAAAAATGACAACAAGAGTACATTAGAATAAAAAACTGTGACATGATTGAAAAAAATTTTAAAATGCTATGATTTTAAAATTTTTACATTATTTACTTTAACAGATTTGTATTTCAATCTTATAACTCAACCACAAACATTGTATTACACAACTTACTAAATAATATTACAAGTGCACAACAAAGTGAAGATGGATTTAAAAACAATGTTTGTAACTAAAAAATATTACAAGAAAAAAAATAAGTTGAAGGTAATCAGAATAAGTGAATGTAAACAAAACGCTTTTATCAATTACTAAAAGACAAGCAACCTATGACTTTGAAAGGTGGAGGGGGTTTAGGAAGATCTGCTATACTTAATTAAATACTGGTCAATTAGTCTAAAATTTCTGAGTTAAAGTTATATGTTTTTAATATAAGTATTAAGTATTAATCTAAGGATGTATTATGAAGTATGAGTATTAATTATAATAACAACAACAGCAATAATAACAATAATAACAATAGCAATAATAACAACAATAATAATATTAATAATAACAATAAAATAACAACAACAATAATAATAGCAATAATAATAATAGCAATAATAACAATAAAATTAACAATAATAATTACAATAATAATAATATTAACTTATATCACATATAAATATTAAACAATTTTAATAAGTAATAATGACGGTAAAAAAAAAAGTAAATAAAATGTAAATAATATGAACATCACATATAATAATAATACTAATAACAATAGTAATAATAATCTATTATAAGCCTAAGATTTTAATTAAAACATTTTTCTATAAAATAGTTAAAATAGTTGAAATTTTGAAATTGAGGGATTGAAAATGAAAATGTAAATTACTCCACAATTTTTACGCATTGGTTTGTAATTATAATAATATTAATAATAACAATAAAATAACAACAACAATAATAATAGCAATAATAATAATAGCAATAATAACAATAAAATTAACAATAATAATTACAATAATAATAATATTAACTTATATCACATATAAATATTAAACAATTTTAATAAGTAATAATGACGGTAAAAAAAAAAGTAAATAAAATGTAAATAATATGAACATCACATATAATAATAATACTAATAACAATAGTAATAATAATCTATTATAAGCCTAAGATTTTAATTAAAACATTTTTCTATCAAATAGTTAAAATAGTTGAAATTTTGAAATTGAGGGATTGAAAATGAAAATGTAAACTACTCCACAATTTTTACGCATTGGTTTGTAATAGAATTATCATTATATTTTACCGAACAGCGTTTTGGGATAATTTAAAGTTACTCAAAGATCGAAAATAATAACAAGAACTTTATTTAGTGGTAAAAAAATTTGAGAATGACGGAGGGAGGTTTACTTGTTTATGATTCCAGACAGACAATTTAATAGATAAACAAGATCACATAATTTGAGTATATTTGATAGAAAGTAAAGGATGCCAGAGTTAGAATGATACTGTTGAAAGAATATTATTTTTAATAACCTTACAAAATTTTTACATAATCTTAAAAAAGCATTAAACTTGCATTGTCCCCAAACCTGACAAGCGTATCTAAGAAGTGATCCAAAAATTGCATGGTATATATTAAGTAGAGTTTCATAATTGACAGAGTGGCGAATTTTGGCTAGCATCCCATTTGATCTGCACAATTTTACTGCTAAGTCTTTAAGATGAGAGGAAAAAGATAGATCTGAGTCAACTTGGATTCCAAGATATTCTAATGAAACTACAGGAAATATTTTTGTCCACTTAGTCTAAAGATTAGGTTTTTATACATTTTAGATTAGTTTGATTTGAAAATAAAGAGTTCAATTTTGTTGGTATTAAGACTTTGTTAGAAGGTGACCAATGAAGAAGGTTAGATAAATCATGACTAATATGTTTGTGGTAAAATGGTAAGCCATTGAAAATTTTAGGAAGATATTATGATTATTTATTAAAATAAGGAAAAGCAATGGTCTTAATACAGAACCTTGGGGTACACCCGTGGAGCATTTTATTGGAGAAAATTTGGCATCATTGATGGAGAAAAATTACTGATTTATTAAAAAAATACGATGGAAACCATCGGAGAGTATTACCTCCAACACTGTAGTGTTCCAATTTACGTAGGAGAATGAAGCGATCAACAAAATCAAAGACTTTCTCTATATCAAGAAACACTCCACATGCAAAAAAGTTTGTTGTTAAGAGCATTTCTAATAGTTTCAGTTGTTTTAATGAGGGCATGAGTTGTGGAGTGTTTGTTACGAAATCCATGATGTACTGATTACTGACGTTTGTAAAGACATTGGATTTTGTCAAGAAATCTATAAAGTCTGTTGTACATAGCTTTTTCAAATATTTTACTAATGTTAGATAGAAAAGAAACGTCCGATAATTTCTGTGTTCCATTAGAGAACCCATTTTATGGGTAGGAATAACTTTGGCTATCTTAAAATCATCTGGAAAAAAACCTTTATTAAAAGAATTATTCAATATGGTAAAGAGAGGCTTACAGATAACATAAGAAGTAAGTTTGAGAAAGTGTGTGGGGATACTATTTGGACCTAAACTTTTACCATTTTGTAAACTATTTTTTATTAAATCAGACACCTCATTTTCAGTCACTGGATTAAGAAAGAAAGAATTAGAATTAGGATTTTTTAAATAGTCAGAGAAGATACTTTTAGAAGAAATCACTTAACTTTTGGTTGAGTGTTGTATTGTTTCATAGTATTTGTTTAAAATTTTAGCAACAACCATACCGTCTGAAATAGTGTTACCATTAGACTTGAGAATTTAAGATTAGAGGGTTTGATGTTATTAATTTCTTTTATTTTTTTGCAAATTTTTGTTTTTCTGGATATTCAATGTTTTGAATATCCAGAAAAACTAAAATTTGAAAAAAATATCCGGTATTTATAGAAATTTCCAGAAAAAGATAATCCCTGAACATAACACTTTTTTTTATGATCAGTGACTTTAAGATACTATAAACTAAATTAGTTAACCCTATTCATAAAGTATTGAAAAATAAAAAAATTATACTACACATTAAAAAAATAAAGTAAATAGATAAAAAACATAAAATAATAACAAAAATAAAACAATTTATATTGTTAAGCACACCAAATAAACTTACAACAGTGAAAACAAAGCAAGATCTGATTGTGAGTATTCTTTAAAAAGCTAACAATACCAAACAGCATCTTTTTCATACTTTGATGTTCTAATATTCGTAAAACATGTTTTTAAAAACATTCTGAATATTTTTATTTTTATTTTTTATTTTAACAGTAAAACAAGCGCGGAGTGTTGCTACATTGACTATCTTATAGTCTGTTGTTACAAGGAAGTGCTGCTACATCAACTATCTTATTGCGTGACTTGCAACAGAGTGCGGCTGCATCAACTGAGGGTTTAGTTAGGGTAGGCAGTCTATCAAATAAGAAAAATTAAAAAAAAAGTTTGACATTTTATGGTAAAAACTTTAAATGACCAAACATGAGTATATATATATATATATATATATATATATATATATATATATATATATATATATATATATATATATATCAAATAAAGGAAAAAGCAAACACTTTTGTAAGAAGCATTTGTAATGGTGCTGTGGCAAACAAAGTTGTTATTGAAGTTCAGCAGCAATGGGCTAAAACCGGCATTGAAATACGTAAAGACATGATAAAAGTAAAGATTCTTGATCTATATGAAAACTATAGTTTATATACAGATCAAGTAGACACTGCAGAAGAAAGAGTGCAAATCAAACAAATAAAAAGAGAAGATTTTTAGTGAAGATTAAAAACAGTAATTTTTCTTATCACACTAAGATGCCCAAGCGGAAATAGAAACCAACAGACGTACCAAAAAAATGAAGGATGAAGATCCTGACTTCCTCAGTGCTCTTTAAGCTCAAAAAAAGGTGTGTGTGTAGAAGACAAGATCTACATGAGAAAAGTAAAACATAAAATGAAGAGAACTAAGGTCTTATTGAGGTAGAAAATGGATCAAAAGAAAAACAAGCAAATTCTGTTTTCAACAATTGGTGAATTTTATTTAAAAACTTTGGCATATAAAATTCGCCAAATGGTCACACACGAGCAGTGAACACCTGAGGGAAGAAATGAAGTACATTAGAATAAAGGAGAATTATTTATTAGACAAAACATATTTTGACAGTTGTCAAGACAAAAATAAAGATTAATAAAGGAATATTTAAAAATAAATAAGACAGGCTATACACCCACAACAATAATAACAATAAAAAGAAAAAGAAAAAAAAAAAAAAAATAAAATAAAATTGTTTTATAAACACCAATATGAACGAAGATATACATCACCAGACAAAAACTTATAAAATAAAAAACCGATCACAAAATAAAAAATATGCTAACAACAATGAAAGGCATTTAATAATAAAGAAAAAATCATTAATGCCAATGTGTAAACATAATTTGTGTAGTGATTAAGTAATAAACATCTCCTCAGAGTTGAGTCTATTATTATTGATGTTTCGATGAGGATCAGCATTTATAACTAGTTTATCCCGTCAGTCATCGCCACTTATGCTTTACCCCGCGACTTACGCCTATTCCATACTACAGTAAAACAGGACTCACTACAAATAGCCAAAAACCCAACCAACCCCAAATTTGTAAAGCACCAATATTTTTTTGATGATATGATATAAAAAGTGTAGATTTACTAAACAAACAAAAATAAATATTTTTGGTCGAATTTAAATAATGTAAGCCTTGCCACCAGCATGCCAAAATGTGATAATGTACATTTAATATGCAACCAAGGTAATATTGGAAAAGTTTAATGCACTATGGTTGAATTTTCAGGTCAACAATGAAGTTATTAGTATCGGTAAAAGTGTTGATAGTAATTCAGTTAATTTACCAGAAGGCAAGATTTTTTAATGTCATGTAAAAGAAAAGAGTTTGACAAGTGTGGCAAAGAAGAAATACATGGTAACACTTAAGCTTTCAAAAAACCTGTTAAAGAATGCAAAAATATCGACAATAGCCATAGGTTAAATTTGTCATTTGGTCAGAGAATAGCATTGAAAGCTGCAGCTATATTAAAATAATAATAATAATATATTAATTCACCTCCCCAAAGCCGTGAAAGCCACTATTATTGAGGAGGCTACTTTAGTTGTGGTTACATCCCTCTCTTAACTCTATAACTCAAAAAAACAAACCTTGATCAACAAGGTCACTGCACAGAGAAACAAGTTGAGCACGGTACTACCAGGGACATGTTCACTTGTCTGTGAGTTACTTTATGTTTCTGTTCTGATTAAATCTTTGAAACAGTAAATTTAACCACCATGTATCAAATTAAACAAAATTGTGCAACTTAAGAAACAATATCCCCAAAAACAATATCACTCTGGGTTGCTTTCTTTAACTTTGATTTTTACCGATAGAAATCATTGCCCAGACAGCAAGCTTACATCGGCCCAATGTAAGTTTTAACATTGGCAAGTTTATTCCGTTGGGCCAACATTTAGCCAATGTTTTTTTTCGGCGTATTTTTTTTAATTCTACAAACCTGTTTTTTGCAAATATCGTACTATATTGGGCCAACATTTAGCCAATGTTTTTTTTTCGGCGTAATATTGCAATTCTACAAATCGGTTTTTTGCAATTATCGTACTACGTTGGGCCAATATTTGGCCAATGTAGTTTAGGCTTAATATTTTGCCATAAAAATCTGTTTTTACTTTTTACCGTAGCCAATATTTGGCCAATGTAGTTGCGGATTAGTATATACTTTT